GGGGGGGGGGGGGGGGGGGGGAACCTTCTGTGATTGAGAATTTCAAAAAACTTAGCTATCCCAGGAAGAAGAAAACCAAATTATACGACAAATTATTAGTAATATAGAGTTTCACTGGCATTATTTAATGATTTAAACTTCATATACTTGGATGACATTATGGTATTTTTAATCTCCAGGTCAGAATAAGAAAATGCAAAATAGTCAAACATGAAAAACTATCTCGAGATGATTGACACCATACGACAGCAACACCCAAAGCCTCACTGTCCAGGGGGGGAATAAATCAGCATACATAAAGCTTTCATATAAATCAGTAGATATAGTTTTGGACAAAGGATGAAATGGAACAGAAACTTACCCGTGAACAAGAGCAACAAGTTTTGGATACAACTGCTTGTCACGTATATCATTCACTTCTATTACAGTTGAATCCAAAGATTGCCAGTCAACTATATACCGTGTATGTAAATGACTAACAGCAGCTTTTGCTTTCTCCAACTGCTCAGGACTAGCATTGCGTTTTTTCAGCTTGTTCAACGCCGAAACTTTCCTCTGATACTCAAGTTTCATAAGCTCACCGGCCTATCAGCACACAAACGAAACAAATGGTATCAATTAATCACATATATAAACACGACCACAACTAAGGAAGAATTCAAGCTTTTGCATGCAATAACTGAAATAGTTACTATACAGTGGCTAAACATTTTTTTTCAATTTAAACAAAACAGTATTTCATAATGCCACTCAATCAAATGATTCTACATGCATTTACATTACAAGAATGTTGAATTGTGTGGAGCTGCAGGGGGATAGCAGGCAAAAGTTTTTTTTTATTGAAGGGGTACATTGGGCATTCATACTTCAGTATTAGGTCTGCTATATAAAGGAATCTGATGGAGCCGTTTTTTTCTGTGTGTTAGATAAGCCAAAGAGATGGGAGGGAACCTTGTAATCTCGTCCTTCATTATAGTAAAAAATTTGCAGCAGTGTGTTGACGTAGATGGTAAACAACTTAAAATGTGTGTTCTTCATTTTTTTACTTCTTTTCCGTTTACCATTGCTCTCGGGGTTATAGAATAAGTTTTAATCCAAAATGAAAGCTTGCCGCAGACATCAATTACAAATTAAAAAGATAAAATGAAAATGAAAAATCTTGTATGAAGTGAAAACACACAGAAAATGATAAACCTAAGAGAATATAACACACCTTCACTTCTTCATATAGCTTTTTCTCCCATGCTAGCAACTTATCCAAAACAGTGGCATGCGTCTCATAATCATCTGCATCCAAGTTATCCTTTGTGCCATCACCATTTGGTGCACCTTTGAAAGACTTGTTCCATGTAATAACTTGCATGACCCTCGCTGCATGGTCAATGTGTCCTAAAGAATAAGAAACATTATTATCAAAATGTAAGAGAACTGGCTGCGGATATAGCCCTTGTCTGGGAGAAATTTTAATCAAGATAAAAATGAAAAATTGGACCGTTGCTGGCCTGTTGGAGCCTTTTTTTTCCCCTTGCTTCTCACACTAGGACCCACTTACTGTCCAGCCAACGGTAAAAAAAATGGCTTCTCACTCTAAAGAAATTGTTGCCAGAGAGGGTCATATTAACTGGATATGGTTTTGCCTCAGTAAGTTTTAATCAAGAGTAAGGCAAACATTTTAGTACTTCGGGTGAAAATAGAAATCTTCTGTTGCAGGTTTATTTAATGGAAATAGAACTAATAACCAGGTCATAACTTGAACAGTATTTCTATCTCAAAACACCCAATGAGAAGAAAGAAATATGGTGTTTCGTATACCGATCACTAGTTTTCTGGTTGGGTGACGGTTTGGGGAAGAAAAATTACTTATACGCGGAACACTATTGTGATGCTTGATTCAAGTCAAATGAATAAACTGTTTAGACTAGAAGTGCTGAACAAGCATGGTCCTACAAGCATCTAACATTCTCTATGCCTGTTGAGAAAAATCTTCATGACTGAAAAATACTAATGATAACAAGAGTAACAAATATTAAAACTTTCACACAAGATATTCAAGTTCATACATGTCGAATATTGATATAAAACAAGCATCATTAGGATCTGAAATGTTGGAGTGCCTGGAAGTTAAACATTTATCTATTAATTGGCTAACACATTATGTGAAATATCATTATGTAAATAAGCATAATAAAATCCCACTCCATTCAACAGAAAAAAAAAAAAATGGAAACCAAAATCGAACCCAATAATGCAAATAGATGGACTAATAGATTAAAATCTCTACAAACTTAACTTAGTAGCTGACCAGCTCAAGGGAGATGTCTATAAATTGCTGCAAAGAGGACTAAATTTCCGTACACGGACTCTCACGAGTATTAGGAAAAAATGCCCCATGAGAGGATCGTTAACACTTTTTGTGAAAGCAATGATTTCTAACAAGGTCAGTGTGTATTATAGCGCTTCTTTTCCAGACCTATATCTTTAAATACTTCATACTAGATTAAAGCACAGGTCGTGAGAACAAATAGTTTCACAAATGCATGTTTTGCGTTTAAAGATTCATTGTAAACCCCTCTTTTAAATGCAAATTCCATTTCGAACAAGAATCCCATCGACAATTAACCTAATAACCTTAAATGTTTGGTGTATTTGTACAAAACTCATCCACAGCACATATCACACAAAGAACTCAATTAAAAAGCTATAGTACTCTGCCAAAATGACATTATCACCTCGATTATCCGCAAAATTTGAATGGTAATGCAACCGGGTTGCCTCCAGCATCTTCGACACCTCTTGTGCACTTTGGGAAGCCTTAAGAAAATGATCATCAATCTCACCCAAAATCTTTGACAAATCCACGTTACTACTACTCTGTCCAACCATGTTCCCACCACCACCAATCCCTCCTCCACTCATCCCAGGTGGTGCTGTGTTCGAATGCACGAATTGCTTCTCCTTCTCCTCAGTCACCGGCGTCTCCCCAGGCGTTTTGAACTCCTCTGCCCCCGGGAATCCTACATTTTTCTCTGGCGTCTTGAACTCCATGTTATTGTCACCTACATTGTTGAAATTCCCATTTTCATGGCCTTGTCCTTCCATATAATGCTCATCGTCCTCTTCTTCCTCTACCTCGTCCAACGACTGCCCAGGAATATTGTTCCCCATGAAAAAATAATCCCACGCCACGCCCGGTGGCGGGGGTGGATTAGGGGTTCTTATCGGGGTTTCAGGGCCCACCTCCTCAACCCCTTTTTTCTTCCTATTAAGCCCTCCTTTCTCTTCTTCCTCCTCTTCTTCTTCATCACTCTCGTCAATAGCAATACCCTTCATTTTTCTCTTCATATTCTCCGAGTGAGATAGCACCGCAGGCATGGTCATAGAACGCTGGATGGGGGGGAGGGGGGAAAATCTCGGGAGTGGAGGCGGAGGAGGAGGCAGACTGGACTCCACCATAGAATGCGGCGGCGGTGGAGGGGGTCGCTCCGCAACAGATGGTTCTCCGGGGCCCACAGCCATGGCTGGTGGCGGCGGAGGTACCTCTCCGGCACCGTAATCGCTCAAAGCGGCGCCGGTGTTTTTGAGGGATACGGCGTAGCCCGACTGAGCCGAAGCAAATGCATTTCTCACAGAAACAGCCTCTTTCATCAGATTCCTTCTTTCTTTGCATCTTGAAACTGATTCTTCATTGTCTATTTTTGATTGTGCACACCCCATTTTTCACATATACAAATTTCTTCCTTTTTCTACCTTCTTTTCAGCTTTTTGGGGTTAAATCACAATGTTTTTATGGGATTCACACAAAGACACAATTATATCGTAAGCAACTGCGTGTATCTATAATTCTGGTCAGCAGCCGGAAGATGGTGATATATACATAATACATATAATCATTTATATGTATTATGTATGCATACATCAAGATTTTTTGCTTCTGTTTGGGAAAGTAATTAATGGCAGAGGAGCAGCAGATGATATGATAGGAAAAAGATAAAATGGACAACACTGAGACAGCAGAGTACACAGAGGCACTGAGTGTGGGTGGTGGGGTCGGGGTCCTCCGCTCCTGTATCGATGTTATATATGTGAGTGCAATTATAAATGCGATTTACAAAATAAAGTTGGGCAATTGTAATAACCGAAGGAAAATGAACAGGAGAGAGGCTGTCGCAGGGAGGGCAAAGGACAATTACGGATTTCAAAAAACGGAGGGCCAACGGTCACATTTTTCGAGGTACAACGATGTCGTTTAATGTCACGGGCATAATTGAATATTTATTATAATTTTCAATAATAATATAATACCAATATTATTGAAATTATACATTACTAATTATTTAAAATATAATGAAAAGCGATTATATTATTAAAGAACCAACATCATAATTCATAACACATCAACAACCTAGCAATCAAACTCAGCTACAAAATTGCTAGACCCCCGCTGAGAAGACGATAATATAAATATTTTTGGTTTTTGTCATTATTTTGTTTAGCCTCGTTTGATCTACATTATTATCTCATTAAAATGAAAAATATGACTGTTTAGGTAGTATAGTTGTAAATTTAAATTTAAAAAATAGAGAATAAACCTGAGCTTATTGTTGATATTTTTTCATTCTCATTCTACAATAATTTGGCTCAAACATGACCTTAATATAAACTTGTTTAAGCTCCACTTTTCTTAAAAATGTATTTTGAAATATTAGATTGATAGAGAATATATAATTGAAAAATAAGAAAAAATTTTAAATTTGCGTATAATATTATTTTATTGGAGAATATATGGTTAAAAAAAAGATAAAAAAATGTATTTTAGAAATAATGGGAATCAAATAAAAGTTATAAGAAATTTGTGGTTTGAACATGAGATATGTATTAATAGTTCTTAATGGAACAATTCTACATGTAGAATACGTTTCATTACCTTCTAGAATGGCAATAGAAAACGACATTAGCATGATTATCCAACCTAGTCGAATACGGGTTCTCATTGTTGGGAAATGCAAGAAAAATTTTGGAGTGTTTCTTCTAAATAAAATTACAATAACAATCAATGTTAAAATGGATCGAGGCTACTACAATGCAGAATCTTTTACATGCATAAACACAAAACTTCTGCTGTGGCTCCACTAGAAAAAATGCTAGCGTTTTCTTGAAAAAAACTCAAAAGTTAATCATAGAAATGAAAAGGAAAAAAACTAGGTGTAGATGTCATATGAGTTGGTTCGAGTATTTCAATATCCAGAATCATCTATTACACTTTAAGTATTTCATAAATTGTACCATTCGATTTCACATAATTACTGAAACTGAACTCGAAGTGTTTGTTTGGATTCGATTCTAACCATAACTAAGCATGAAAATTGTATAATTCTAAAGAGGACCGAATCGAACCAGAATATTGGGGTATTTAATAAGTGATATCGTCGGCTCCAACTTTAATCGTGGAATCTAATCGATTCAGATTGATTTCGTACTATAATAAATAATAAATTAACATTTACAACAAAAGTACATAATCCAACCAATAATATATTCAATCTTAACTCTTACAAAATAATATAGTTCAATATAAAAATAAACAAATAGAAGTTATCTAATAAGATCAATTCACCAATGAAGGATGTAAAAATGCTTACGCCTATATAATTTGTGTAATGCCCCGGAACCTATGTCCCGAAGGTTACTAAATTAATTTTTTTTATCCATAAGAAAAGTGGATTGAGTCATACTATAATGTAAACATTGAAGAACTTTGCGGAATAAAATAAGCTATTTTATGTTTCATAACATGTCGAATAAATTCAATCCACTGATGAAATATAAATCCATTGATTTTGAAAATAAAATTCTCATTGCAAAATAATTTTCTAACTAAATACAATAAGAAAATTTAAGTTTTTGATCCCGCGACACATACTCTGCCAGCAGTCTCAACCTCCAACTCCAATCAATCAAGTATCAGTAAAATATTTTAAATATGGAAGGAGCATACGAGTATACTCAGTATAGATTTCATGCCAGTATTTCACAATTTATTATAAAAGGCTAGTAAATTACGCACTTAAACATAATTTTCTAGTGGGATAGAAATCCGACCGTCTCATCCTCACTTAGGTCATACTCATTTTCAATCTCCACTTAGGGTCTCTAGTCCCATGGTTGGTTTCTTTGTAGATCTACTTAATACCCTATGATGTTACCTATAAGATCCTTCTTTAATTTGTATCACATAATAGCATATAAAATATTTAACTTAAAACATTAAAAAGTGAAAACACAAAACCGCTTGACATTTAGAGAAATCTATAAGTTATTCGTCAAATTTCTTGTATACTTAAATTATTTAGGATTGAAAATTTTTGTAAATAGATCTCGAACACGTTAGAAAACATTTTTCTTTTCTTTTCATTTCATTTCTTTTTTCTATCATCTCTCTCTCTCTCTCTCTCTCTCTCTCTCTCTCTCTCTGTTGCCGTTGCTGTTGAGCGCCCGCCCCGATCGTGACGAAACAAACAAATCCTTCAGCTTATGTCTGACAACAATTTCTTTCCCCCTTTTGATGATAAGATTTTAGTGTGGATATGTGCAATTTCAAGTTTTATCTAAATACTTTTATATCAAATTATTCGATAATAATTTAATAGATATCCAAAATGATATTAAAATTTAATTTCATGTAAAACTCATATACGTCCAATTATTAGGAATATTAACACAAGGTTCCCAGAAAACGGTAAAGTTTTTAAGTTATTATAAAATATTAAAACTTGCATTATGCCTCATAACATATTGTATGTATTTTCAAGGTATTATATCATTCCCTCCTTGAAAAATTTCGTCATCGAAATTTACCTTGGTTATCGAAGAGCTATATATATTTAGCTTTAATATCTGCATCGCATTTTCAAGTGGACTCTTCAATCGCGTGATTCCACCACTGAACTTTTACTAATGGAATTTCTCTATTTCGAAGTATTCGAATCTTCCTATTTAAGATGACTATTGGAGCTTCCTCCTAAGTTAGATCTAAATGAATGTCTAACGAACGAAGATTAATCACGTGGCAAGGATCTGATACATATTTCTGAAGCATAGAGACATGGAAGACATTGTGTATCGTCGAAAAGTTTGGGAGGCAATACCTTACGTTTCAAAATCTTAAAAGGACCTATATATCTTTATCAGTGCTTTTTCCTTTTGCCAATTGAATGACTCCCTTCATAGGCGCTATTTATAGGAAAACATTGTCACCAACCTCAAACTCAAGATCTGTTCTTCTATTATCTGCATAACTTTTTTGTCAATTTTGGGCAATCTTAATTCGGGCTTGAGTCTTCTCAATAGTTTGGATTGTCTACTCAATAATCTCAGGCCCTAAAATTCTTTGCTTACCTACTCTATCCCAATAAGCTGGAGATCTGCATCTTATATCATACAAAGCCTCATAACGGGGGTCATTCCTATGGTAGCCTGATAACTATTATTATAGGCAAATTCTACCAATGGTAGATGTTTTTCCCAACTTCCTCTAAGATATAGAACGCATGCTCGAAACATGTCCTCTAGAATTTGAATAGTCCTCTCCAACTGACCATCTTACTGTGGTTGAAAAACGATATTGAAGTTCAGCTTAGTCTCCATTGCCTTGTGTATACTTTTCCAAAATTTTGAAGTGAATCTTGAATCTCTATCTGATATAGTAGAGACTGGGGTCCCATGTAATCTGATTACTTCTCCAACATATATCTGAGCTAACTAATCCATATTAAAAGTCATCTTTACTGGTAAGAAGTGAGCTAACTTTGTGAGTCTGTCGATAATAACCCATATTGCATCATTTCCTCTATTTGATTATGGAAAATCAACTACAAAATTCGTGGCGATGTGCTTCCATATCCATTCAGGAATCTCTAGTGGATTTAATAATCATGATGGTCTTTGATGTTCTGTTTTTACTTGCTGGCAAACCATACACTTCTCTACAAATAGACCTATTTCTATTTTCATATTTCGCCACCAAAATATGCTTTGAAGGTCTTTATACATATCCATTCCTCCAGGATGTGCTGCGTATGAGGCAAAGTGAGTTTCTTCTAATATTTATTTCTGTATCTTCTCATCATTCGATACACACAATCTTCCTTTAAACATCAAAGCATTATCTCTAGCTAACTCAAAACCATTTCGTTTGCCCGTGCCAATTTCACCTTTAATCTTTTGCAGAAACAGATTACTATTCTGGGCTTTGTTAATTCAATTTTGAATAATAGGTTAAACTGTGAGGGTAGCAATTCGTGCTACAATATCTATTGAAGGTGATATCACCTCAAGTTGCAAGTGATCTATATCTCTTATCAATGATTTATATATAGTGGGTAAAGCTACCAAATGTCTAGTCTTCCTACTTATTGCGTCGCAACTACATTGGCCTTTAATGGAAGATAATTAATGGCACAATCATAATCTTTCACCAGTTCTAGCCATTTACATTGGCTCATGTTCAATTCTTTTTGGGTGAAAAAGTACTTTAAGCTCTCATGGTCCGTATAAATATTACAATTAACTTTGTAGAGATAGCGTCAGCATATCTTTAGTTCATGAACTATTGCTGCTAACTCCAGGTCATGCATTGCATAGTTTAGTTCATACGATTTTACCATGATGCATAGGCACGCATCCCAGACCCTGCTTATATGCATCATTGTAGATAA